TATGAGAAGTTTGCCAAATGTTTAAAAATTATCAATAAAAACACTATAAATTAAAAATGAATTGCTAACTTTCATACTGTACCATTTGTAAAAATGAGACTGATACTTTTAACAATATTTATCGCATTATATTGCAGTGTTTTAGTTGACGAGTCCAGTGGTCACGGCTATATAGCCGACCCGCCGTCCCGATCGAGCGCCTGGAGGTTTGGATTTCCTACTGTTCCCAACTATGATGACAATCAGCTATTTTGTGGTGGACTTGATGTTGAGTTTTAATTAGCATTACATACAATACTAATTGAAAATATAATGTTATCTATAATTGACTGAATAGTATCAGTGGAAAAAGATGGCCGGAAAGTGCGGTATATGTGGCGACCCATACGGCGGTCCCCTCGACAATGAACTGCCGAATGGAAAGTATGCCAAACATCTCGTAATCACCCGCTCCTACAAAAAGGGTCAGAGGGTTGACGCTAAGGTCAACATCACTGCCAATCATATGGGCTTTTTTCAGTTCAAACTATGTGAGGGCAAGACTATGGCCAAGGAGGTGACCCAGGACTGCCTGGACAGTCATACCCTACAGGTGCTCGAGTCGAAAGACAAGTTCAAGTATAACGTACCGTCGGAGAAGCCTAAAGTGTATACCGTTCCCATCAAACTGCCCGATGATGTCCAGTGCGAGCGGTGTGTCATTCAGTGGACGTATACTGCGGGCAATTCTTGGGGTCAGTGTCCGAACGGGACGTACGCCGAGGGCTGCGGACCGCAGGAGACCTTCAGAGGCTGTGCTGATGTGAAGATTGCCTAAAATAATTGGTCTTAAGAAATGATTATCTGTTTGTTTATGACTTTTGTGAGACATTTATAAAACGATGATACATATTATTATAAACGTATTTTCCACACTCATTTTAATGATTAAATCTTTATAATGAAATGTTTTTATTAAATTAATAAAACTGTATTATTTGCTTTATAAATGATTTATATATTTTTCGATTGAATTTCTAAAACATAAATAAAGCTCTAAATCTTATTTGAATAATTAATTTAATGAACAATAGCGCAGAAATTGGTTTTGATTATGAATAAATAATATACTATTCATTAATATTTATATTAATAAAATTGTTTTTGTAAACACTGTCTAACGCCTACCATAACTATAATTAATCAATTAAGGTACAAAACTTATTATTCTTTAGAAATTATTATTAATTTAATATTATAAATAATAATAAAATTGTTAGTGCAATAGTAATTTATTTTCATAAAAAATAGTTGTAATATTTTTATAACAGTTATTACATATAAGCAAGCAACTATAAGTCTGTAAAAATGAGTTCTAAAATGTTGACAAAATTTAATATAAAACTTTTATTTAAAATTTTATGTTTAATTGGCTTTTCATACCAATCATATAAAATGAGTTCATTTTACTTTTCATTCAACACAACCACTAATGTTATGATTGAAAAGGATTTATTGGTCTCATTGCCGGCCATTAGTCTATGCGTTGAAAAGCATTATCTATTGAAACCAGAATTACGGCACAGAATCGTCCAGAATATGAGTGAATCCAAGAAATCCATAGGAATTCAGAAATTCTTGAATCAGATGTCAATCGCGGATCAGTTCCAGTCGTTAATCACATGGGAAAGCCTACTAAATAATAAATGCCTAGTCTATAGACCTGTAGGTCTGACCACTGGAGGTACACACTATATCCACGACCACATTAACTGTTCCGATGTCAGCGCATACCTGCCCTCATTAAGTCAAAACTACTACTGTGTGACACTATTCACGCAACTGGACGGACAGCCGGAGGACCGGTATCTCATCGACTATGACGTGAACTTACGTAACGATAGGAAACGGATGGTAAAGATATGGCTCCCGGAGCCCATCAAATACGTTGACATCCATATCCACACCCGGCGCCGACCAATACACGACGACAGAGAGCATGGATGTCAACGGATGGCACTTAAGAATAAGAAAAAACTACTAATTGAGTATAAAAAGACCAGGGTGGTTTTACTACCGGCGCCGTACATGACTAATTGCGTGGACTTTGAACGCCATACGCCCTACCAGTCCCGCTACGACTGCGTGTCAAAGTGTAAAATACAGAAATTCATAAC